GATTTTTAAACAGAACTAGATTTTTATGAAACTTGGAATTTTCAATCTTCTTCAGTCGCTGAATAAGAATCAGAAATTCTTCTTTGAACTACATTCAGCGAAATCCTTAATAAAATTAAGGATTTCTGTGAAATATGGTATCTAGGGGTTTTTGGCCTCGCTGATTACGAATCTAAAATCAGTTTTCGAAAATTCAAAATGGCGGATCCAATATGGCGGACGGATTTTAATTGTATTAAGGATTTCTATAAAACATGGTATGTAGGGGTTTTTGGCCTCGCTGATTACGAATCTGAAGTCAGTTTTTGAAAATTCAAAATAGCGGACATGTAGGATACATACCCTACATGGTATGTATTTTATAGAGTACCCGAAAAGTAAGAGGCAAGAGGACTCACAGCAAAAACCTCCCGAAAAGTGAGAGGCAAGGGAACTCACATAAAAAAACTCCCGATATTGTGAGAGGCAAGGGAACTCACAGCAAAAAACTCCCGATATTGTGAGAGGCAAGGGAACTCACAGCAAAAAACTCCCGATATTGTGAGAGGCAAGGGAACTCACAGCAAAAAACTCCCGATATTGTGAGAGGCAAGGGAACTCACAGCAAAAAACTCCCGATATTGTGAGAGGCAAGAAGACTCACAGCAAAAACCTCCCGAAAAGTGAGAGGTAAGGGGACTCACTTTTAATAAAGCACCCCAATGGGAACGAAAAGCTACTACGTCCACGTCGTTGCTCCTGGGTAATAAGTATTAAAAGTAGTTCAAAAAAGAATTTCTGATTCGTAATCAGCGAGGCCAAAAACCCCTAGATACCATGTTTCATAGAAATCCTTAAAAAAAATGAAAATCCGTCCGCCATATTGGATCCGCCATTTTGAATTTTCAAAAACTGACTTCAAATTCGAAATCAGCGAGGCCAAAAAGCCCTAGATATCAAATTTCATACGAATCCTACAAGCAGTTTGTAAAGTACTTCTTACCCCCCATCAAAATTTGTAGGGGCGATTTCTACCCCAAAATTCGTTTTTGGGGAAAAACAAAAAAATACGTGTCTAATAGTTTTTGAAGAACTACTTGTATGCGCAGTTTCAGAAAAATCGGTGATTATCCCTTCCCTAGTATTACTACTTCCCTAGTAGTATTACTTGTCAATACTAGTCGGACGCGAACTCGAGATTTCAGATACCTCTAAGTTCCTAGTTTATTATCTTGGCTTCTGCGCTATTTCTTCAACTGATGCTAAGCGTTTTTTATTATCCCCATATGCAGCCGAAGCAGTAATTATAATTTTCTTATAATATTATTTAATATAATTACAAAAATAAACTATGTAATCCAAATATTTCATATAACAAAAGAAAAGTCAGAGATATACATAAAACTAAAGCATTTGAAACAGCTATTGAATACAATTTGGAGTTAATTTTATTATTAATATTTTAATTTAATTTAATTATATTTGCTTTCTTAATAAAAAAAATTTTTATATGTGAAAAAAGTTGTATATACAATTAAGTGATTATTAATAAACTATATTACAATTGTGTAATATTTTCAAGTTACACAGAAAGCAAAATAATTACACGTAAGTTTGCTGAAATATTAAAGATTATATTAACTTTATGACAATATTATAATGTAAGGTTAATGGCAGATTGCAGTAACATGCTCATTAAAATATGTAAGCTTGTAACCTACCCATAACCTTGCAATGTTCGGTGCTGTGCAAGTATTGAAATGTGCTAATCACTTAAAAAAAATAATTAGGGACTTCTTATAAAAATAAACCATAAAACATAATATTATTTAAAAATAAAATTATTTGACGTTGATTTATTAAAAACTATAATATCATTAAATACAGACAATTGCTTAACAGTAATATATTTTTGAAATATAAAAAATTTCAGAATTCTTGAACAGTATATCTTTGCTCACGGATACTTACCCGTCTCCATTTCGATTTTGGTTGGCCAATAAACTAGTTATTTGTGTAAGCGAACCAGACCAAATAAAAGTAAGAGTGCAACGCTTGCATTATTTATTTATTAATTTATTTATATATTCTGAGAAGAAAAAGTAGGTCGACAAAATCGGCGATCACACGTCTTCAAAGAAATATTATGCCTATTCAAAATTATGTGTTAATGTAACAATAAGTTGCGTTGATATAGTTACTAATCACAACCATTGAATCAATAGATAACTCGTTGCAGCAACAATATAATTCGTTTAATCGACTAAACGTTTGCTTGAACGAATTTTGTTCATTAAAGCAAGGACTCATTAATTCAACCACTTCTTTTTCTCAAAATATGAGTGAATTACAAGCAATCGTAAATCAATGTTGTTGTCTATCTTGGCAACAAATCATTTTTTATAGCAAATTAGGAAAAACTTCCGAATACCATCTACGTTCGATTGTGCAGAAATTTTGATGGAACATGAATATTCCAAATAATGTCAAATGAATATCCTTAAATAGTTTTCCATCAATAAAAGCCGATAAAAATGAGTTTTCAACAAAAAATATATAAATTAAATAAAATTTTGGTTATTATTTTGGTTATTGTTGGTAAATTATCGACTATAGGGAAAGCAGCTCCAAACACATTGATCTTGACATATGTTGTAGAGGTCACTCTCCTGAGTAACCCTCAGAAAATTTTAGGCGGCGCTTGTTGTTTGTTAAAAAGTTATGAACAAAAAAAGTTGAATAAATCAAACGTAATTTTTGGACATTTTTCGATCGAACGTCCCTTTTGCTACATTTTTCCTCAGAAACTATATATTGCAAAACAGTACACATATATGCGCGGGAGAGGGGTTCCTTCCCGTATTCCGTTGACAAATTATATATAAAAAATTAGGTTTACGTATATACGTGTATTTTACCATATTTTAATAAATAGTTTAAGTTAAGGTTAGGTAAGGGACACACACACAACGCACACACACACATATATTGCTCGCCCACCTGGCAGGGCGGGCTCGCGGTGGGTGCATATTGACCTATTATATACAGGGTGTCCCGCGTAAGACGAACCAAAAGAAAAATATAAGTAGAACACATAAAAGTAAACCAAAATTGTATGTTATTTTTCAAACAACCACGTAAAATTTCGAAATATTAATTAAAATATTTGGACAAATTAGAACGCGCGACGCGACAGGCGGGACATACGCTCGCAGCGGTCGACGAAGAAAATGGAAGAATGCATACGTACATGGACGCACACACGCAGCTACTCATTTCAGTATGCCAAACGGCCCATCTCTCTGGCCTATAAGATAGACCCGCGAGCAATCGTCCATTTTTTTTCGCCGGTCGCAGCGAGCCGTATGTCCCGCCTGCCGTGTCGCTGCGCTCTGATATGCTCAACTATTTTAATTAATATCTCGAAATTTTACGTGGTTGTTTGAAAAATGGCCTATATAATTTTTGTTCACTTTTATGTGTTCTACTTATATTTTTCTTTTGGTCCGTCTTACGCGGGACACCCTATACATACATACATACATACATACCTAACGCGAGCCCGCCTTGTCGGGCGGGCGAGCGCGCTTGCTGGCTAGCAGTGTGTGTGTGTTTGTGTGTGTACGTGCATACAGCTGGCACCTTCTTAGCCTACAAATTCCATGTTTTTGTATCAAAAATTATACTCATTTTATGCAATTTCTTTTGTTAATAACTTTTTAACGGACAACAAGCGCCACCTAAAACCTTCTAAGAGTTACTCAGGAGGATGACCTCTACATCATATGTCAAGGTCAAGATTATTGAAATTGCCTCCCCTATAGTCCATAATTACCAAAATTTTTAATAATAGAATTAAAAAGCTAACAAAATATTTAAAAAATTTTAAAATTTAAAAAAATTAAAAGAATTTTTTTTAATTGAAGAAAGTAAAAACATTGAGATGATAATTATCATAATTTTAACAACAAACTTTCAACATTTTATTTATAATACTTTTGCGACGGAAGATTATTTGTTTATACACACTTACATTGCATATAATATGTAGATCACAGGTGACGTATGGTTTAAGCTTTGTATTTACATATTTAAATAAACAAATTCTATCACAATATGTAAACTCATCTAAGTAGCATAATGTATATACAGGATGTCCCGTATTATCTTCACAATCTCTCGTGAGGACGTAGAGCGGATTGAGATGAATACAAAAGTCCCATACCGTTTTGCAATATTCTCAATAATAACCGAGAAATTAATTAAAGAAGATTGGTGAATGATCACTAGCGATATAGTAGATGACCTGCAGTAGCATCGTTTGTCATTGTATACTTATACATTAAGTAAAATTGAACAAAAAAGTCCTCTACCATTTTGCAAATAGCCACATAGATTTTTAGATATTAATTAAAGAAAATTGTTACATGATTGTGTACCATAATGTACAAATTTTCTTTTATTAATATCTAAAAATCTATGTGGTCATTTGCAAAATGATAGAGGACTTTTTTGTTCAGTTTGACTTTATGTATAAGTATACAACGGTAAACGGTGCCGTTCTCTCTAATTCTTCTCTAATTAATTTCTCTTCATTAATTAATTAATTCCTCTTGAATTATTATTGAGAATATCGCAAGACGGTATGGGACTTTTGTGTTCATCTCAATCAATTCTACGTCCTCACGAGAGATTGTGAAGGTGATACGGGACACCCTGTATGTATATACAGGAAGTTATAAAAGTCTGGAAACGGTCGAATATCTCGAAAACAAACCATTTTAAAGAAAACGGTTTCATATAAAAGTTGTTTGGTTCAAAGGGATCTATGAAAGAATACAATTGGTTTCACCTTGAATAGTCATTTGAAAGTCATATGAAGGTCATCTACAATTTTTTAAATGGAACACCCCATATATTGTTTCGTATTCTTACAGCTTATCTCGAGAGCTTTCCAAAACACTATAATAAAATATTTTTTCGTTAAGAACTTTTCGAATAATAACACTTGAAATTTCCAGCACTTTGACATAGAATACAAAATATCTCGTAAAATATTCATCTTTCGCTTATTTTGCCTTAATGCTTTTTTGCACAGAATAATAAAACAAATTAATTGGCTTAAAAAAAACAAAAAATTTTTTACATAATAAATATAAAAAAATTTTTTGTGCTTTTTTTAAACCAATTAATTTGTCTCATTATTCTGTGTAAAAAAGCATTAAGGCAAGATAACCGAAAGATGAATATTTTACGAGATATTTTGTATTCTATGTCAAAGTGCTGGAAATTTCAAATGTTATTACTCGAAAAGTTCTTAACGAAAAAATATTTTATTATAGCGTTTTGGAAGCTCTCGAGATAAACTATAAGAATATGTAATAACATATGAGCTATTTCATTTAAAGAAATCGCAATAACCTTCAAATCTCAAAAACTATGACCTCGAGAAAAATTTTTCGCTCGTCATAATATGCGTCCCTTCCAATCGAACAAGTTTTCCCTGTAGTATTTTCCCGTATCATCAAAAACAACGGAGATATTTTAAATGGTCGAGTTAGAGGAAACACTGTGTGTGTGTGTGTATGTGTGTGTGTGTGTATACACAGGCTGTCTCACACTCTCCTCCGGGCATTCTGTGGGAACGTAGAATGGGTTGATGTGAACATAAAAGCCCTATACCATTTTGCAAAATTCGCAATAATAGTCGAGATATTAATTAAAAAAGATTAAGGAAAAACTCACGCTGAACGATAGAGGACGGACCGCTTGAGTCACAGCGCGGCCCAGTAATAAAGCGCGCGGTAATTGGAAGACAATGCACCACTGCCTATACTTATACCGCTGCGCTCCTACGTCTTACCGCACCGCGCCGAGATAACAATAAGCAGGGGTGCATTGTCTTCCAACCACTGCGCGCGACATTCGCTTTATTACTGGACTGCACTGTGACTCGAGCGGTCCGTCTTCTACCATTTAGCGTGCGTTTTTCCTTAATCTTTTTTAATTAATATCTCGACTATTATTGCGAATATCGTAAAACGGTATAAGACTTTTATGTTCACATCAACCCATTCTACGTCCTCACAAAATGCCCGGAGGATAGTGTAAGACACCTTATATATATAGCACACACATACATACACACACACACACACACACACACACACACACACACACACAGAGGATATCTCACGTAAGACGTGCCAAAAGAAAAATATAAGTAGAACAGATAAAACTGAACAAAAATTGCAGAGGTCATTTTTCAAACAACCACGTAAAATTTCGAGATATTAATTAAAATAGATGGACATATCAAAGCGCGGCGACGCGGCAGGCAGGACATACGGCTCGCCGTGACCGGCGAAAAAAATGAACGATTGCTCGCGCGCCTATCTTATAGGCCAAAGAGATAGTCCGTTTGGCATATGAAAATAAGTAGCTCTGTGCGTACGTGTGCTCGTCCATTTTCTTCACCAGACGCGACGAGCCGTATGTTCTGCCTACCGCGTCTCCGCGCTGATATGCCCGCGCTGATAAATATTTTTATTAATATCTCAAAATTTTACGTGGTTGTTTGAAAAATGACCTCTACAATTTTTGTTCAGTTTTATCTGTTCTACTTATATTTTTCTTTTGACACGTCTTACGCGGGACATCCTATATATACAGGGTGACCAAAACCTTTCTTGACATAAATCGCAGGAAAGTAGAACGGATTAAATGGGACAGAAAAGTCAAATATTATTTTACGAAATTTGCAATAGTTTTCAAGTAATTAATTATTTTGTTTGAACAAATAAGCCCTTGGCTCGGCGCGCGATCGTGATACACGCGAATCGCGGCTCGCTGCGTCTCTCCGCCCATAGTTACGCTGTATCTCGTAATTATGGTAACTATGGCTACGAGACACATTGTAGCTATGGGCGGAGGGACGCAGCGAGCCGCGATTTGCGTGTATCACGGTCGCAAACCGTCCCAAGCGCTAATTTGCTGAGACAACATAATGAATTACTGGAAAACTATTGCAAATTTCGCAAAATAGTATTTTACTTTTCTGTTTCATTTAATTCGTTCTATTTTCCTACGAATTGTGTAAAAAAAGGTTTCGGACATTCTGTATATATGTATGTATATATATAGGGTGTCCGAAGCCTATGGTTTTAGAGTTTATAGGTTTAGAGTTTGAGTTTAGAATTTATAGATGTAGAGATTATGGGTTCAAGATATGTTTAAGCGTATAATTTGTACGTTTGACTACAACTAATGTTTCACCCAGGATGTATGACCACTTTTTTAGTACTTTTTAAGGTGTACTAGGCCATACAGAACTCGAATTTTAAGTTCCACTTATAGTAAAAAAATCGCGGTTTTCCGACACCCTCTTTTCACAATCAGACTAATCAAAGGGGTATTTCTCCCAGCCGTAGTATAGCAGAACAGCCGATATATAAATTTATATAAACATTAAAGCTTTTTATCGGTGGAAAACCATTTAAGAACTTTCATATGAAATCATATGGAATTTATAGCAAATTTTATCAATATGGGGTGTGGGTAGTTTTGGAAGTTCAGTCGCAAATTATCATCATTTTTGCAACTTTCAACATTTTTTAATTATACGTTAATTAAGGAAACAATGAATATAATAAAAGTAATAACGAAACAAACATATTATTGAATAAGTTTTACATATTACAGACTATTTTTCAAAGTCCTAACTGCATAAATAAAAGCATAGGATATGAATTGATCAAACCGATCCTAGGAAATGGGCTTCTTACTGCTCCTGGTGAGATCTAACAAAAAAAGACTTGTTTGTAACAATAATAAGTAACATATATTTATGATATGAAAAAGATACATAATTATCGTTTTTACGCGATATCGGTCGGATATATTTTATATATTATATCAGTAATAACATAGGAAAATATTTATGTTACACTCACATTGAGCAACAGCACCAACTTTATTATTAGGTGTACAAATAAGTTCGGTGTCTTTACATTCGATTGATTGTAATTCTGTTTTAATTTAATATTTTTTCTTGCCGATTTGGGGTTTGAAGTGTTGACCTGAACCTTCTAAACACATCACATAACTTGATTATGCTTGTATCATAACCTGAAAAAATAGTAGTTTGGACCTTGGCTTCTCAGAAAAAGCATACTATGCATTGCATTCTTTTCGCGCTTCAATGAAAGAAAAATACTGCTGAAGCTGCCAAAACGCTTTGTTCTGCTTTAAGTGAAAATGCTGTGAGCAAAATGCTTCAAAATGGTTTCAGAAATTTCGAAGTGACAATTTTGATCTTACTGATGCAGAACGCAGAGAAATGTCGAAAAAATTGAGGATGACGAATTAGAGCAGCTATTGAAAAATCCTTACCAGACGTAGCAAGAATTTGCTGAAAAACTTGATGTAACTCAATAAGCTATTTCCTTTCGTTTAAAGAAACTTGAAAGAATGTAGAAGGCAGGCTGTTCGTTATGTCCTCAGTCCCGAAAACAAAGGCAAAGCTGTGACACGGTCATGTCCCTGCCACTATTCAAATAAAAGGACTTTCTTCATAAAATTGTAACTAGGGATGAAAAGGGTATCATTATCATAAAAAAAGTATCATTAACTTTATTGAATTAAAACCACCATTTTTAACTAATAAAGGATTCGCCAGTATTAGTAAGATGGCTAAAATGTGTGAAAAATAATGAAACTATTTCGAAATTTAACATGTTTTTTTGTTTTTTGTAAAAAACAAAAATCATGCTAAAAAGATACTGAACTTATTTGTATACTTAATAATTTGTCTAACTTAGTATTCAACGTAGTAATGCCTTGCAATTTCTATGTATGTATATTTGAATTAATGTTTGCCAGAAAACTTACTTTTACTTTTTTATTTATTATTTCAAGTGTATGCATATATGGACCAATCTAAGCACGCATAATAAAATCTATCCGAATACATTGAAATTAAACACAAACATACACTCAACCCACACAAATTAACAAATTAACAAATTTCTTAAAAATTTAAATGAGTTAATAATTTATTTGTGCACCTACAATACTGATGCAATTCTAAAGTTAAACAATGAACGCGAAGCATTGTGTGTGCAATATGAATCTAACAAGATTTCTTTTAGATTATGTTGCATTATACCAACAATACAAATATAACAATGTTTCTTATATAATATGTTATTCTGACAGGCAATATTTAGAAAATTAACTAACAAATTTACAATATTACATATGTAAAGAAGTGCGTTTACTCTTTTTCATTTCACTTTAACATCAATTTTTCCGCAGCACATATATGGGCTCAACGTCGAAAAATGCTAACGTCAAGCTTTAATACAAACGTATTACGAACAACCTGCGATACATTTGTGAAACATGTTTCAGTATTTATGGGGAAAATAGAATATATGTTAAATGACGAAGTAGATTTATTACATCATATAGCAAATTGTACGCTGGACATGATTTTCGGTAAGATACAATGCTTATTCGATTTTGACTTTTTAGGAAATTATCTGTTTGTGTTATAAACTCTTAATTACAAATGTATAAACTGTTAATTAAAATAATAAATAATATACGTTTTATATTATATTTTAATTATAAAATATATCAAAAATAACAAACTTGACTTCTTCGTAATCTTGAAGATGTTGCGTTGAATTTCGATTTGGGATCACAATTAAAGGAAACTGTGCAGTATGCTAATACTATTGCGAGGTATGATTCTCTTCAGATCATAAATTTTTGTAATTATTGTGCGCTATACGTAAGGATAGATCTAATTTAATGCAATGCTTAATTGTAGAGTGACAGACATAGTCACGCACAGATTGCGAAATATATTTTTACACCCTGATATTATATTTAATTTTACATCTCTAAGGCGCGAACAACAGAGACTTTTAAATATTATACATTCTACTGCGGAAGAGGTAGATATTGCAAATACATTTTATGATGATGTTACACGATTTGCACGTTACGTGATTTATTACTGTGCAGGTAATACAACAAAGGGAAAATGCGAGAAATAATTTAGTTGAAAATAAAAACCAATCCGCTAAGCCTTGTAAGTTGTCAACACTTCTTCTACATATTTTTGCAGTTATATGATATATTTATGCAGTTAATATTATAATGTGTGTGTGTGTGTGTGTGAAAATTGCACGAAAATAAACTATATGTTATATTTTAAAATAATTGGACATACAAGGGAATATTTTTTCTTTTTTTTAATCTCTTTTACAACACGTTATTTAGATAAATATAACTGCATCCATTGGATGTGCATATAAATATATAAAAAATTGTTATTATTAAAATTATGAACAAATAAATTTACGTGCAACACATCCAATTCTGGCCAATGAACAAATTTATTTTTTAGAAATGTATTTTGTTTATTTTTTGTTCAAATAAAAAATAGCAAGAAAGATATATCTTGATATACTAATGGAAGCATCTGACGACGGCAAGAAATTAACTCGAAAAGAGATTATAGATGAAATCACTACGATAAATTGTACCGTACGTATTATGAGGCGCCTTTTGAGACGAATACTTGTCCGTAATGTATTAATATAATTATAAAATTGATAAAGTAAATTTTCATTTACGCAGGGTTTCGACACAGTCGCAAATACATTAAATTTTCTGATGTTCATGTTAGCAAATTTCCAAGAAGTACAAGTATGTATTTTATATGTATTGCATAACTTTAAACATAAATTGGTTTTTTTGATGATATAGAAATGTCTAAAATTTACTAAAAAGTTAACAAATGTACACTTATCATACTTTTAATACGTAGCCTCTTAATCTAGAGTTTTTATATTTTTTTTATGGAATGATACAGAAATTATTTCGGAGAATAATTTATGCTTCAATATTCTATATATGAAATAAATAAATACATAATTTTGTAACAGCGAAAAGTATACGAGGAGTTGCTAGAAATTTATGGCATGCAAGATCCAAAATCCGCGCCCGTCAAATTTGAAGATTTGCAGCATATGAACTATATGGAGTGTGTTATTAAGGAAACAATGAGACTTTTCCCCGTTGGGTCTATATTAGGACGGCAACTTAATGCAGATTTACAAATAGGTTTGCTTATAAACGTATTATATAGTGGAGCAATATGTAAGAATTGTACAATGAATAGTACAATAAGTACAATGAGTAGTACAATAAGTTGTACAATAGTGTTCCGTTTGTTATAAATATTTTATTGCAACAACAAAATTAAAAGAAAAACTACAAAACGTAAAGTACATGTTAACTTCATCAAAGCGTAGATGTTTTAAATTAATTATAATCAGAAAAGAAGTAAGACTCTAATGTGAACACGCAGACTATGTTCCAATATTCACTGCCACTATTGAAACTTTATATGTATACGACACAAACTATAGATCTTGAATACTGGCAGTGAATATCGGAACGCAGTAGTAATCATTGAACTTTATTGAATTTATCGATGAAATTGTTTTATTTTATTTGCGAGTTTACGCTAGGCGAAAAAATATATGATCAATTTAATGTTTATTGCGCACGTAATATGCGTCCATTCTGACTGATGCAGTCTATACGGAAATTTTTTACAGTTTGATATATACAACTAATCGTCGATCATAAATCTTTTCCTCTAGCGTAAATTCGTGAATCGATGGCAATCATTATAGATACATGCTGCTTATTGTATATATATTATCTATATATATTACAAACGCATTCTGATGGACAAACGCGCGCCGCTTGTGTGTGTGCGTGCATATACGTGTGATCTAAAGCTGAATCGTTTCGCGATGCAGACGTGGCTTGATAGGCATACTCATTCGCATGTGTGCGTGCGTACGTGTGAATCTGAATTTAAAAAATCTGAGAATCTGCGCGAAAATAAAAAGACTTTTTAGCGGACGAGATTTCCTGATCTCCGTATTGCCTGTACCAATCTTAATCAAACTTGGTGCAAATTTCGCGCGCGCTAAACATTATATAAAGAAACTTTTATCAGATTTTCCATTTTCGTGCTTGAGATGTTTGACTCGGAAGACTAACCGACCTAAAAATTCCAGATAAGCTTACACGATCGCGTTGTTTTGTTCGATACGTACTCGGCACCGCACCGCGACCGTGACGCTTGATATGATTTTATTTAAATCATTTTATATTTTATTATAATGATGTTTTATATATAGATTAATATGTTTCAGGAGAATATACTTTACCGAAAGGCGCTGAAGTTTTAATAGCAGTATTAGACATGCATCGCAATGAAAAGTATTGGCCCAAAGCATTAACATTCGATCCAGATAGATTTCTTCCGGAGAACATGGCAAATATTCATCCAAATAGTTATATACCGTTTAGTTACGGTCCAAGGAACTGTTTAGGTATATATACTTTAGCACAACTATACTATAGCAAAACATGAGAATAATCGATAAAATTGTAGGTATGAAGTATGCAATGGTTTCCATGAAAGCCTTCACAGCAACATTATTGCGGACATTTATATTAAAAGTCAATAAGAGGGTTAAAATAGAAGAAATAAAAGTGAAAGTAACTACTGTGTTAACGCCCGTCAATTCTTTGAAAGTCAGAATTGAAAAGAGGATATGACAATATAACATTATCACAATATACTAACAGAGGAAATGGATTTCCTTATTAATATAATTAGTGTAGGAAACATTTATTGTTACTTTTAACTTAATTTGCATGTTTTGTATCGAATATTATTAGGCGTACAACTTTGCTTCCGCCGTTTTCCTATAGATGGCTTTAGCGGTAAGTGGTGGTCGAAATAAATAGATCATAGACATCATACAATAAACTTGGGCATCTGTCAACATAATCCCATAGAAACATTGGTCGATTTGTGTCTGCATCATAAAGTTATTCTCGATTGAAAATGTCACTTTACGAGCCAAATTCTCGTCATATGCGGGAAGTTTTAATTTTCTGCTTCAATATGAAAAAATCTGCGGCTGAGGTTTATCGATTGCTCTCAAATATTTATGGTGGGGCCGCTATTAGTGAAAGAACGTGTCGTGAATGGTTTCAACGCTTCAAGAACGGTGATTTTGACGTCGAAGACCGGCATAGCGGTGGAAGAGAGAAGGTTTTCGAAGACGCAGAATTGAAGGCATTATTTGATCAAGACTCGTGTCAAAATCAAGAAGAATTGGCACGATCATTGGGAGTGACTCAACAAGCCATTTCAAAACGCCTCAAAGCCATGGGAATGATTCAGAAGCAATGAAATTGAGTGCTGTACGAATTGAAGCCGAGAGATGTTGAACGGCGTTTGTTTGCTTGTGAACAGCTGCTTGAAAGGCAAAGACGGAAGGGATTTCTGCATCGCATTGTGACTGGGGACGAAAAATGGGTTTATTACGATAACCCCAAGCGCAGAAAATCATGGGGAGTTCCCGACCATGCTTCCACGTCGACGGCCAAACCGAATATTCACGGCTCCAAGGTTTATGCTCCATATTCATGCTCTGTATTTGGTAGGACCAGCTCGGCGTAGTGTATTATGAGCTGTTAAAACCG